CTAACACGATTTCCAACATGAGTCACAACTCAGTTTATTTAACACATGAAAATACATGGATAATGACAAGATTATTTGACTGCACAGCTCCATGGAATTGATCGAGTCACAATTTCTACGGTACACGCCTACACGCCCGTCACCTAACATGTGTGTCACCCTCAAACTAATCACGTAACACGTATAATCAGGGATTCATACCCTCAGCTCCAAGTTTATAAGTGTTACTTACCTCGAACAAGCCGAATCCAATGCCGGGCAAGCTAAACAATACTTCGGAAAAATCATTCCTCGCATATCAACCTCTGAACACCTTCCTATATCCTCAATTCACAGCCAAACAATCCAAAACTAGTCAAACAACGTGCAAAATTAATCAAAATATACTCAAATGCATATAATTTACAATTTATAAATATTCTCAACTCCGCTCGAAAAGTCAACCAAAAGTTTTAATCCGATGAAAGTTATAAAATACGACAACCCATTCAATTATGAGTCCAACCATACTAATTTTACTCAAATCTGACTACGAATCGATGTTCGAAATTCGAAATTCGAAAATTCATTTTATGGAATTATAGAGAATTCCTCTAATTTCTCTTGAAAAATCAATAATCATATACCGAAAACGAAGATTAATTCATGAAATATAATCACAAACGAGTCGAGAATACTTACCCCCAATCCATGTGGTGAAATTCTTCTCCAAAGTCGCTCAATCCGAGCTCCAAAATCCGAAAAATGCGAATAAAATGACCAAAACCCCGAAATATAGCTTTTGTCCAAGTATTTACTCTTCGCAATTGTGGAAAATGCTTCGCGATCACGAAGCACAACTTTTTCTCAACTCAAAATTTCCCTTCGCGATCGCGTGAAACCAATCGCGAATGCGAAGAACAAGCTACCCAACTCTTCTAGACAGCCTATAGTATAATGGTAATAACCTTTTGTACAAAATCCAAATGATAAATGGTTTAACATTCTGAAGACTAGACACCAAGGGCTAAAATTTTCATTTTTGGATCATCTCCAAATTCCTTATAAATTGCAAGATATAAGAGAGAAATTTCTTCTTCGCGAACGCGAATTTGTCTACAAGAACGCGATTAACATGGCCATTTATCCCATTTTGCTCTTCGCGAACGCGACCCAATGTCCGCTGTCGCAATGCACACTGGTGTTGTAACGACCCGGCCGGTCATTTTACTTTCTAGATCCTTGTTCCCCTAAATAAGACCCCTCGTATGTGCTTTTACTATTTTATGACTTTCGGGGAAGGTTAGTTCGGGTTTTTAAAGGTTCAGGTTGAAATCGAAATACTTAGTTCCTTAATATTGGCTTAAAAGGGCCAAGTTTGACTTGGGTCAACATTTTTAGTAAACGACCTCGGAATCGGAATTTGACTGTCCCAATAAGTTTGTATGATGATTTTGCTAAAAACGACCTCGGAACCGGTATTTGACTGTCCCAATAAGTTTGTATGATAATTTTGGACTTGGATGTGTGTTCGATCGGATTTTGGATGACCCGGGAGCGTTACGGCGCCTAAAGGTGGAAGTTGGCTCATTGAAGGTTTTAAAGTTCTTTAAATTTGGTTTGGAGTAGGTTTTGGTGTTATGGATATCCGTTTGGAATTCCACGCCTAAGAATAGCTCCGTATGGTGATTTAAGATTTGCACGCAAAATTTGATGTCATTCCGAATAGTTTAAGTAAGATTCGGCACGTTCAGAGTAAGTTGGAAGAACTTGAAGTTCATAAGTTGATTCTATTTGGTTTTGAGTTGTGATTCTTAGTTTTAAAGTTGTTTTCCGCGTTTCGAGGGCGCGAGTGAGTACGGTTTATGTTCACGAACTTGTTGGTATGTTTGGTCGAGGCCTCGAGGCCCCCGTAAAGGATTCGGAGGGTCGACGGAGCTTGTTTGCTCTTTGGAGAAGAGCTGTTGGTGCATGTCATCTGCTGCGTTCGCACCTGCGGTGGAATGGCCGTAGAAGCGGCACTGCAGATGTGTCGCCTCGCTCGCAGAAGCAGAAAGAGGAGGGGTCAGCGAGCTCCGCAGAAGCGAAGCATTTCCGTAGAAGCAAACTCGCTTCTGCGATGAAGGGGCCCGCAGATGCGGAGAGAGGCAGCCTAGCCATGGTCGCAGGTGCGCGAGGTGAGCCGCAAAAGCGGGCTCACAGATGCGAGACTTGGCCGCATGTGTGGCTGGTTATGGGTCGTACGTGTTCCGCAGATGCGGACAGTCCACCGCAAAAGCGGAGATTCGTCCGCAGGTGCAGAAAAGCCGTTGGGCAGAAGGGGTGCATTTAAGTCGAGACTTAGGCTCATTTCTTCATTTCTCTCACTTGTTGGTCGAATATAGAGCTCATTGAGGAGGGATTCTCACCTAGCAATTTGAGGTAAGTGATTTCTATACAATATGAGTTTAAAACATAGATTATGGGTAGAATTTAACATGAAAAATTGTGAAAATTATGGGTTTAGTTGAAAAACTTAGGTTTTGATAAAAATGGGATTTAACCACGAAAATGATTATGGAATTGGGTAAAAATTATATATTTGAGTTTGTGAGGTTATGAGTAACATTTATCTTCGAAAATTTCCGAAATCCGGGCACGTGAGCCCGGGGGTGAATTTTAGGAGTCTTCCAATTTGGGTTGGGTAATTACTCTAATAGCTAAATTATGAACTTTTGAACATGTATTGATTAATTTATATAACATTTGACTAGTTTCGGATTGTTCGGCACCGAGTTGAGGCTTTAAAACGAATTTGTGGGCTGAAAAGTGAGCTTTGAGACGAGGTAAGTCTCTTGCCTAACCTTGTAAGAGGGAATTTACCCCATAAGTGATTTAAATTACTACTTACTTCTAATTGTGGGGGCTACGTACGCACGAGGTGACGAGAGTCCGTGCGTAGCTACTAATTATGCTTATGTCCAGGTAGTTTAGGACCCAAATCATGTAATGCTTGTGGTGTATGCACCCTACTTGTTAATTAAAGTGCCTAAATTATATTAAAATTTGATAAAGGGTTTGTAAAAGACTGAATTCCACTTACTTGAGGTTTGGCAAGTTACTTGACCGTTAATAGAAATTGTGCTTCTTTGTATATTAGCCTTGTATTAGCTTTTAAATCGGATGTTCATAAAGTATACTTCCTTCTTGTGGAGCGGGCCGAATGCCTCAGCAGTAGATAGATGCATTTATGGTTCGTGTTGCTCGACCCTCGACATTGTACACATTATTCTGGATCAGGCTGAACGACTTCGGCATAAATCGTGCGTGTTTATGTTTGGAGCCTAAACATACCTGATATTATTTTTCATGAAATGAGAGATTATACTTTATTTATTTGTTCGAAATTTACTTGGAATTATTATGTGCTAATAGAAGACTATTGGAAATTTACTATTTGTTGAAGAATATTTAACCACTGTTGTTATTGTGTTAATATTATTGTTCACATACTTTATGTCTATTTAGCATTCCTGTATTTTATTGTTCGCCAATAGTAAGTGTCGATGTCGACCCCTCGTCACTACTTCTTCGAGATTAGACTGGATACTTACTGGGTACATGTTATTTATGTACTCACGCTACACTTTTGCACTAATCGCGCAGGATCTGAGGCAGGTGCATCTGACAGTCTTACCGGCGCACACCCCCGATACCCCGAGGCCTAGTGGTATGATGCTCTTCTGAGTCCGTTTGGCAGCACCCAGAACCTCTCTTTTGCATTACTTCCTCTCTACTCTATTTCAGATAGTAGTTTAGTATTTTTGTATATTCTACTAGTAGCTCATACACTTGTGACACCGGGTCTTGGAATTATGCTAGTAGACATTTGAAGGTTTTTGAGTATTTATTTCACCACTTGTTCCCACAATTGATTACACTTTATTTTGTTAAATGTTTCGTCTCTTACTTACTTAATAAATAAAAATCAACTATTTCGAAATTTAAAAAAAAAATACATGACTAATTCACTTTTGGCTTGCCTAACGGCGATGTTGGGCGCCATCACGGCCTATTGGTGAAATTGGGTCGTGACAGTTGTAGCCAAAAACCGGTAATTAAAAATGACCTGGAAATAGTCCGAAATCACCCCGAAACTACGGACTTACTCGATGCTTCAAATCACATAAAAACATCGACACGACGGATCGCAACACAATTCAAATTTAGAAAATTTTCGATTTCCAAAACTCGTGCCGAACCATATCAATTCAACTTAGAATGAACTCAAATTTTGCGTACAAGTCCCAAATGACATAACGAAGCTACTGAAATTTTCGAAACCACAATCCGAACCCGATTTCATCAAAGTCAAGCTCGATCAAACTTATGAACATTCCAAACCTTCAAATTTTCAAATGCAAATCCGGGCATACGCCCGAGTCCAAAATCACCACCCGAACCTAAAGGAATCATCAAAGCTCCGATCCAAGGTCGAATACTAAAAAATCAAACTTGATCAACTCTTCCAACTTAAAGCTTCAATCATAAAATTCAAGCCACCCCTGAGAGAGACAAAACGCGGGAGAGATGATGAGTATATAAGTAGACGGGACTTAAACTCTAGTGACGCGCTTTAAACTCGTGAAGACCTAGGCCCAAAGCAGACAATATTACTAGGGGCTAAGCTGTTACAGTTGCGCACTCTCTCTAAATATGTTGTCGCACCAGTAAATATGTTGTAGTATCTTTAGATATTTCAATGGTGCTAGTGCTAGCAATGTTACATGTTACTACTAGGCGTTGGGACAATATGTAAAGTTATTAAACAGAAAAAATATAACTTCTAAATCAAATGCTTTTGGACACATTTTATTCACGCACAAGATTTGAGGCTGGGATATATTATAAGATTAATCAATATTTTACGCATCAATATTTAATCAAGAAGAGGTCAACCGTGAAAGCAAGAATACGGAATAACGAAGAGGTCACGGGTTCAAGCCGCTAAAGCGGAAAAGTAATCGTATATTTTACCGGTCTCATTGCTCAAACTCTTCACTTGTAGCAGAGGAGCTTCATTAACGTCTCAGATTATTAACCAATACAGACATGCTCTGTACGTGTTACAAACGATGGAAGTATTACACATGTATACATGAAAAACAACACCAGTTTCATTTACTATATTTCTATCTGACATAAGGTAAATTATTCATTTCTAGTGATGAGGCCTCTTCAGTATGCCCTGCGATAACACACAACATGAACATAATTTGCCAAGAGATAAAAAAACAGAATAAACACGACGCCAAGGAACAAACCAGGATCACATTGGCAGCCAAGATTATGAATCAGGGTCGATTTTGTCTACGATATCAACAGGAGCAACTGGAATAGAGTCCCACCACTCTTGTAATCTCCTATTTCCTTTTTCATTTTGCTTTTTGCTTTTCCCTATATTTGATGCTGCTACAAAGCCATACGACGCCAAAGCCATAAGGATAAACTTAAACGGAACCACTGCTAAAATCACTGCTGCGACGACCAACGCTACCATTACCATATCCGCATGCTGCAATTACCTATAAAGTTAGTAGAGGACAGAGCGCGTTGTGAAACGTAATAAAGGGTGAAAACCAATATATATCGTTACCTTTGGAGCTTTTGAAACCAATACTGACCAAATTTTCAGTATAATTATATTCATCGTTTGGATCAAGTCATAGACACTTCTCAATCCCTGTTGCGCTGACACTATGCTTTCCATTGTTGTCTGATCGGATCCGGTGTAGACAACTATTCTATGGACCTTATCGGGTATCCTTCTTCGTCTAGCCCATATCATTGTAGCGACAATTCCTAATAAGAGACCTGCTATTGCCTTGCCAACCCACTCTCTGCATTCACAATAATCCGTTAGTTACTTTCGTTGACTTACTAAACAAGTCGAGTTCACAGTTTGACATCAAATACGCACAAGTAATTTTGCAGGAATGAAGAAACTCACTTGTAAATAACTACCATTGTCGTCATCACAAGAATGGAACTGTATAACGGCCTTTCCCATGTAAAAGCCTCTTGAACATAAGGAACCAACCTTTTCAGTGGTTTGAGGAGACCCTAGGTAAAGACAAAATACCAAATTACCTTAGCATAAGTGATATGCATAATGCCTTAACGGTACATACACATATTGAGAGATCTTTAATTAAGATTAAGCAATGCATGCTACTAATGAACAAGGATTATAAAGCTCTAACTGCTGGCTATTAATCCACTTTTTTTTTTCCATTTGTTTAGCTTTGGTTCATTTTCAGAAATGATAAATATGTATGTTTTTCCTAAAAAAGGGAGTAGCAACATACCATAAGAACCTGGACGCTATCGCCGATTCCTTCCTCTTTCAGCTCCTCAACTGTAGCTTTAGCCAATTCAATTTCCTTTGCTTCCTCCCTCGATTGCTCAATAGCACTCTCCAATGGAGAGATATTGCCTACTTGTAAAGGGGAAGCGATGTTGTCATTGATTTCCTTACCCCTGACGTTGTCATTGATTTCTTTTACCTCTACACTGGGAACAAACAGTTGGGCGACATTCAGGCTCCTCAAGATCGAGCTAGCACTACACGGGTGTCCGGTGTCAACTTTCTTTAGACTCTCGGCAAGCTCTTTAAGCACATAATCTCCCTTTGGCAACTCATCGAGCAAGTCGAAAATAAGGAAATTCTTGGGCACTGGAGGTGATATCCTAAGCATTTCTCTAGCTGCATGTAGCCTGATAATTCCTAGTATCGTTCTCGCATGCATCTCCCACGACTCCAACGGTGAGTCCACTTTGAACTTTTGTAAAAACCTATGCAATAGCATAATTTCCTTCACAAGAGAAAGCCAGTGGTCGCGTCTTGTTGAGCTCGTCATTTCTGGAAATTCAAAGACAACCCCTTCTTGCCTAATTGGGAAACACAACAAGTCATAATAAGATCTCTTTACCTATTATCTAACGAGAAAAAATCACATAGGCGGCGGACTATATCGGAAATGTACTAGTTCCTAATCAATTGTGAAGTTTCACGATCGCATTTAGCCTGGAACCCGTGATCCTAGAATGTTTTAAGATGACAATTAACTAACTTTGCCATGTCCCTTATAACCTGAAAAGATAAATAATGGCAAGTCACCTTGACCGAATGCAATTTAGTACTTGGGAAAAGGCCAGAGTGCTTATAAGACCAGTGCATCATATTTAGAAAGCATTAAGAGTACTTACAACTCAGAGGATTCATAAACTATGGCTTTGTCGAAGAGAGGAGCGCCCCATGGACCCGTGGCGGCTGGCTTGACACTCTGTTTAGTGTCTTTATAAAGGTCAAGCTTAATAGCATCTTTGTAAGAGAGAACTCCAGATGCCTCAAAGTACAGGGCATAGTTTGTTAGTGTCAGCCTACCTAGAAATAGAAGTCCATTAGCAACTATAGCTAGCTACGAATACGAGGCCGCGTGGCCACACAAAAACAAAACAAAACAAAAGGAAAGAGATACCAGGCCAACTAGTGCCTCCAATATGGCGCACTACTCTTTGTGAGGTTGCAGTTCCTTCAACGTGTAGTATAAACTCATCGTCTGCCATTTCCATGCCCGTTGGGGTTGTTTGTTTTTGCAAATGCTTCACACATCTAATTAATGCAAGCAAAAGTACAATCACTCGGTCAACGAAAGAGCTATGCCTCAACCACAAACTATTCGTGTAAATCCCGAGAAAGTAGAATTACAACAAGAAAAGATACGCCAGGGGATTGAACTTTGACTTAGAACGAGAACGACCTTCAAGACAAGGTGACAATTTAAGAAGCAGGGCATTGTATCAACTAAAGAAATTTTTTTTTAATTCCTCCATTATAGTTTTCTTCCAAGTAAGAAAAGCAAGAAGTGAGAATTACTTTTCAATCTCTTTCAGGAACAAGTCATAAGCAGGAAAATGAAGTCGATTTTCTGTAGCTGCTGTCAGCGTCTCGAAAGTAAATCGTCCATTAACAATATCAGCTACTAAGTGTACAAGTGTTCCCAGCCACAAGAATGCATCCTCTCCAACACTTGGCTCATTGTCAACCTGTCAACACAGTAACTCCCAATTAGAAGATGAAAATGTACTGCAACGTGAAGATTTCGTGTAAGTAGCTATTAGCTTTTCATTTTTCTTACTATCATCTTGAATTGAGTGGTACAAAGAGGGAATGCAAATCAGTTATCAGGAAGTGAGTAAAAGGCGGCAAACAAGAGGGAATATTTGAAGACACAGTTGTTCAGAATTCCTATTTTAAGTTGAGTAGCATAATGTGACAAAAGCCGATTCCAAGTTAAGATAGAGATTCCTTACAAGGAGCGGCATGACGTCTGAGTAGAACAAAGGAATGTCATCTTGCTCTTGAGGCATTTTACAAGCTACTTTCCTCTCTTCTTTTTCTTTTGCCACGCATTCCTGTATTATGAAGGAAAAACATACCACATAATGAGCACACTTCATCAGGAAAAGAAAGCATCGCAAACTTCTAACTGGAATGGCAGAAGGTAAGAGTTAACCCCTTCTCGTTCGCTTTCCTCAAAAACAGAATCATAATCAGAATCACAGTGTCCTACTATATTACAAGAAAAGGCCTGGTGACGTCAAGAATGTTAAAAGGAATTATGAGAGAAATATGGATTAAGATTCTCAATAGACCAAGGAATGTAGCAGGACCTACTATAAACTCGCATTTACAGGGTGCACCTGGCAAAATGCTAAGAACCTCTTCATGGAAATTCTTTAATTTCCTCAACTTATAGAGAAATGCCAGAAGAATAAATCTACTTTTAATAATGCAGCCTATATTTTCCTCAGGATTGGGCTGAGATATTTTTGTTTCAAGATTGATCCTCTCTGGAACAAAAATTTGCAAATTTAGACCATCCGTTAAAAACTATATATACAAGATTATTATAAAAGAGACGACCTTTCGCTCATGACCTCAATCACAACAAGGTAATTCAAACGAGCTTAAGTCAGTGAGTGAGTTAAAAAGCATACAACAAAAATCAAGGTCAGTTAAGAGAGAGCAATTGGATAAAAAATCAAGCAAGGACATTAACTGTATGTCTCTCTTCATCAACTGAACTAGGCATTTCCCAAGCTAGCATCATATCAAACGTGATCCGGCTAAAAGAACCATCGACTAACGTCTCCTCCAACTTACTGCATATGTCAGTGAGGGCCCTAGAGCAGCAAAATTCCACTAATTTCCTTGAATAACCTTCCATGTTAGGCTCCCATCCGGCCTCGAATTCATGCACTAGCTCATCCACAGATGTGCCCAACCTCCTGAGGAAAAAATATCTATCATTAATGTAACACCCCAGACTTAAGACAAAGTCCCACATCAACAAAACACAAGAGGGATGAGAGGGATGCTGGGTATATAAGTTAACAAGCCTAAGACCCTAGTGACGTGTTTTAAACACGTGAGGGTCTATGCCCAGAACGGACAATATCACTAGCGGACTGGGTTGTTACAATTAACTTTTAGAAATTCATAGTCGGTGAGGTTAATTTTCAGAATTTTTGAATGCTACAGCGGGAAAGAATACATGCAATACGAGTTGCATGTACAAATACACAATATGATATTTGCACAATAATAAGGCACTAGAGTTCAATATAGGCTTAACTTTAGTAGGAGAAATCTGGTCTAATAGTAATTATGCTAGCTGAAAATTTTACAAAAAATATAGGCAACCGAGTCGTACAACCTAAAGTCGCTTCGTACCTAAAGAATTACCCAGTTCTAAACCAAGCATTGTGGCGGACAAGAACGTCACCGTTGAGGTTTCTGGTGGTTTATTAAGTGTTATATATACATGGTTTTACATAAATTTATGTATTTCAAAATAATTTGGGAGTGTTGACGACATTTATGAACAATTATACATACATAGTGTTCACTTATCGTAGAGCGGAAGTAGCGTGGTGGCACCGGATTCATTAGAAATCTACTGTATATTGATATGAACTCATAATTTTAAAACTAATGAATTCAATATTTATTTAAAATCTTAAAAGTTAGAACTCATAGAATTTAAGTCCTGAATACACCTTTAATCCATATAAATCACAATTACCTTAGCCATTCAATAAAAGAAGAAAAATGCATCAAAGGGAAAGGGAGAGGAAACTAACAAAGCACATCTTTGAAAGACGTCATTGGCAATGGAGGAAAGATGCTTCTTTTCCATGTTTAAGGATAGACCGACCACTCTCGTGTCCCCTATTGTTTTTACTAATATTTCAGATTTTGGTCATGTCCATATTTTTATAACGTTAATTAGATAAGTTCCAGAAAGTCACTTCCTCTAGGAAAAAACAGTTGAAGAAATGGTGATGAATGCTCAAGGCTGAGGAGAAGAGGAAGTGGCTTCGGTTCTTAGGGATCTGTATGGACACGTGTTCGACATGCAAGGGGTCCTTCCCTTATTCAGCGCTCGACTTATTATTATCTTGATATAAGTGATTTTACGAAAGCTGGCCGTTGCAAATTCCGTCGGTAAAAATATTTTCGCGATTTGGCGTCACTTACTTCCGATGAATTTCGATGACTTCTGGAAATATGGTACTATTTGCTATTGAAAATAGGATAAATACATAATTGGTCAACCGATCAAAACTAACTGTATTTGTTAGTCAAAGAGTTTATATCTATCTATTTATACTATATTAAAATTTTTAATAAAATATCATTTATCTTTTTTTATTCTTTAAAAATAACTTTTATATTAAACAAAATAATAATTTAATTATTTTTATAATATTAAGAATTTTGAAATCAACTAAAATTATGTCTAAAAATAAAGAAAACTTTGTATTAAAGTTATTCAATTATTTTGTTCCTTCGTTGGACACCTACGAGATCAAATAAAATTTTGTCTAATAATAAAGAAAACTTTGTATTGAAGTTATCCAATTAATGATCTTCCTTGGATGGACATTTATTAATATTAAAATTCAACTATAAATTTTATTGAATAAAATCAACTAACTAAGATTATCGTTCTACAAAAGGGAACTAAAGATGAACTCTTCAAAAAACTATTCTATTCCCTTTAAAAAGCAACTGTTCGTTCTATTTTCTGATATTTATGCTATATCGAAGCGTTTGAACGAATTCATCAAGTTGCCAGATCCAGCAACAACAAATTACTATACAATTATGTGTCAGATGAGTCCGGAAAACAATGCTACGCATATTCCAATGGTGTCAATAATATTGATTTTCTAACTGCAATTCTAACTTGCAAGAGTGCATCCAAATCACCAGTTCAAGAAAAATTCTTTTGATCAAACGAGTACAAATCTAAAAAACTTTACTCAAATATTTGAGACCCAATTACTTGAATTTTTTTTCTTCTGCTTCTTTTTATGCTATGGAATGGTTTATTTGTTAAATTTATTCTAATAAGATACAATTTGATGAATGAAGGGATTAAATTTGAATTTAACACTTAATTTTTTCCTGTTGAATATTTGGGATTTGCAGCAAGGAAGAGACTTGCATATAGCATAGTATTTTGGAGGAGATCATTAGCAAGTACTAAGTTACAGAGTACTAACTTATTCATTTATCTTTGAATACGCTAAACCATAGCAATATAGCGACACCACTTATCTTTTGACTTTCTCTAAATTTTAAATTTTATTGTCACTTGACATTGAGTATATTTAGTTTCATTATTTTAAATTACTTTTCCTCTTTCAATTTTTTCCTCCATGTTTTTTTTATATTTTCAAATTCTTTATTTTAAATTATTATTTATTATTTTTTCAGTTTACTCTTAAATAGTTAAATTCATTTTTATTTTGTTCTGAAAGTGTGTTTTAAAGCTTTGAAAGCTTCCGGTTCAAGTAAAATTAATATTAGCTTGGGTTTGAAAAGTTTAGTAAGTTATCAACCTAACATTTTAATTATTAAATATATCTTTTTTGAATGATTTATGAACTCCTAAATATAGGAATTTAAAATTGAATAAGATTTTACTTCTATGAATCCTTTTTCTTATTGGTTAATATATTGCCCAATAACACTAAATAAAATTTGTCATGATTAAAATAACATTTGAAAAATCATGTTGTGATCTAGAATGGTGCATAACCACTCTTTAACGCATCATAACCATTGGTAAGACCAAATTATCAAAAGTTTGATTTATGCATATATTTACATGAGAATTTAAAAAATATATATAAATTATGTGCCATGTATTTTATGGTAAGAATTATGAAGGTTATTCATAATTCAAAAAGTCAAATGGAAAATATAATTGCAATTATNCTAAAGGTCAAATGGAAAATATAATTGCAATTATAAAAAGGTTATATAGGATTCTCTGTACCTTACACTACTAGAAATTCACTAAAAATCGACAAAAAATATCGACCAACGTTGGTCGGTTATGGCAAATTACCGACCAAAACGCGACCATTACGGTGTGGACGGTGTTTTGATGGTCGGAATGGCTTACCGACCA